TGAGGGGCCCAGGGGGGCTAGATGATAGTTTTAGTACTATAGGGTCAGGAATACATGTTTGTGTTCCTGACCCTATAGTGATCCTTTAAAGAACATCATTCGTCCAAAGAAGTGGGCATATAGAAACAAAATACAAAGCCTTCTCCATAACCCATCTGCAATCACAGCTAATACTGGAGAACGTAACCCTTTACTTTTGTACCAATGATAATCAAAACACCAAAATGTCTTCTCTCTGTCTGGCCAACAAGGCATTCATAAAATGATTTCTTATTAAACATGCTGCTAATCACAAAAAAAAAACTACTCTGAAAAAGACAGTAGCGTAATTTTTCTAACTCCTGTATATATGTATATTATTATTGATATTTATATAGCGCCAGCTTATTCCGTAGCGCTTTACATTATCAGCTGCCAGTTTATTGAATAAACCCTGTGTATGTGAGCCATAAAAAAAATAGCGTCTACTCTCCATGTATAAATTGTAACCTTCTCTAACCCTAAAATTATCCAAAATAAAAAATGTGAATATAACATTTTAAAAAATCCACCTTGACCATACATCATTTATCATGTACACACCTAATCACCAATAAATGTCCCATGAGAAAAGAGCAAGAAGCATCTTGGTATCAATATAAAAAAATAACAACTATTTGCGCTTACTTCAGAGTGAAACAGCACTTGAATCAGGTAATGTAACATGTTCAGCCTCACCTTGCGGCATTTGCGCTCAGCGGCCGTGCATCTGTATACCTGACCTCTGCAACATGTTGATGGATGCTGGCCGCTGCGGATCCATGCAAAATTATAGCCCCACATCCGCCCACGTTGATAACGATGTTGGCGTGTGTGTGACGTCACGCGGGAGACACGCACGCACGTTCTGGGGTCAAAGACCAATTTTCGGGCAATCAGAGCAGAAATAGGCTTATTTAAACTCCTTATGCCTTTTCATAGTGGTTGTCCTAGAGTGTGTTTCTGAGCGTTTACTTCTGGTTATTCACTTTGGCTTCGTATTGACTTCCCTGTATTCTGGTATCCTTGACTTCTGGGTTTCCCTAAACGTTGTGTCGCTTTCTGTATCCCTGACCTCGGCTAGTATTCTGACTATTCTCTGGTACGTTTAGTCTGGCCATTCTAAGGCCCGGTTAGAGATTACCTATTAGTCCTAGGTGTGATACAATTCTACGTGCTGGATCAACTAGTAATCCTGACAGGTAAGTGGTAAATAATTTCTAAACTTTCCTTTTTGATGGGGTGGGGGGCAAGGCAGAGGGACAAAGTAGTGTTCCCAACATGTTTGTTTAATTTGCATTATACAGAAGTGTACTTTATATTTGGAGTATTATTTTGGAGTAATGCTTTCGATCCTCCACTGCACTGTATTCTGATGAGTCCCTGTGTCTCCACTTTGTGCTAGATTTTTTTTTATGTCTCATAATTTAATGCATGGTGTGCAATTCACACATTGACACTCAAAGGCTTGATCTACTTGCCTATAAAAATGTAAAGACTGTTTATTCTATTAATTTACTTAACGTGAACTGATATCTTATGCAAAAAAAAAATTAAAACAGTTTTGAAGATCATGCTATGAACAAAAAAAATGGTTTATAAAATCCTTTTATTACTTTTAAATTAAAAGTAGAATTTTACTCGAGCAGGTTTCTCTGCAAGTATACATTATTTTTATGTGTTTTCAAGTGCTAATATTGCTGTACAAGTTTATACAAATGTTTCATATTAAGTCAGTGCATGTGACAGTGGAAATAAAAGTTCCCAGAGCCGCTTGCTTGTGTGGGATTATTTTTCCAAGTTATTCTGTTTCGAAGAATAATGTTCTCTTGTTTTGCTTGTATTACAACAATGTTGGGATTAGTTAAGATGCTACTGGGAGCTGTTTATGAACAGTATTTTCTCACTATTTATTTGCAAAGTTTTAAAGAAATTCTCTGGATATCATATTCTGTTTTTCCAACAGAACAATAATGATATGTGCCAAAGCTATATTTTTGGGGGGAGAAAACGAAAGAGCAGTATTTCAAGAAATTCCTTTATATGAATATATTTAATGGTTCAATTATTTTGCTATTTTAAATATTAGACAGATTAGACTTAGTATGAAATAAGTCATTAGTATTTTACTGGTTAACAAAAGAATTGACAAGATTTAGCCACCAGTGATAAAAAAAATAAAAAAAATAAAAAAAAATAAAAAAAAAACTTTTCAAATCTAATTCTAAATCACCATTTCACTGCCACGTTTTATGCACACAATACCAGTATATTAGATAATATTTTAAATATAACATTATGTGCATAATACGATCAAGAAATGGCCATTTAGGAATGATACAACTACCAGTACGCCAGTATGGGAAATACACATATGCATGGGTTAATAGTAAGGGTTTAATAATGAGTGAGCGATTTGCAACATCAGTGCATGCAAAATTGACACATCAATTGCAAGAAATTAGGTCCATTAAAAAAAATCAATATAAACAGCCAGGGCATTTGTCATTCAATTGCTTGTACACAATATTTATGCCCTGCAGGTATCTACGTTTTTACTGTAAATATGTTGCCTGCCTAAAATTGGTCTGTACTGATTAGCACCCATTCAGCTAGCCTAGAAAGTCCCTTTACGAGTGCACAAATCTAACTACATTAGCTCTACATTAACCCTTTTAAAGCATTTAATGTTAACTAATGTTAATGAGAGCAGTGTATTTGATGTGCAAAGCAGTGCTCTATTCTTGCAATAAAAGAACTTTCGCTTATGCACAGAGAATAAATTATTTAAAGGACTTACTTTGTGGTCCCAAGGGTCCCATATAACTAGAAGGAAACCAGCATCTACTTTTATCTTAACCCCACCTACGCATCAGGTGATGGGGGTTCAAGAACTATATGGGAAGTTAAATTAACTCCTTACTTCTAAACTTACATTGAGTACATGGCAAGTAAAAGCTCACATAAGTTGGAGTTTTTTTTTTTTTTTTGCAGTTTGATTATTTTAACATTAGTTTACAATTTTATCTTTAATTCTTGATTTGCTATTTGGTGAATAATTGCAGGTAGGCTATTTTATTACATTTAGTCACATTTTCGAGTGTAGAGCACATACACATTAAGATTTTGACCTAAAAAAAAAAAAAGAGACTGACAGATTCAGCTACACTTGTCATCTTATCACCTAGGCATAACAATCAAATCCATTAAAATATAATTTTAATCAAAGTCTTCCATCTTAATCCATGTTGATTGACGGTTCTGAGTACTGCTACTTAGCACAGGAGGAACAATTTTGCTTTAGGGCCTATATTTTAGAAACATCAATATTTACATGAAAAAACAAACACACTTTATTTAAATGTTTTTACTATAAATAATATGCTCTTAATATGCCATATATTATTGTAGGACTGTTAAAGGAGCACTCCACTATTTTTAATTACAGTACATGGATGCAAAATGCACTAAAATGGAACTAAATAATAATGTTCCATCCTCACTAGAGATGTCCCGAACAGTTCGCTGGCGAATAGTTCCTGGCGAACATCGCATGTTCGCGTTCGCCACGGCGGGCGAACATCGCATGTTCGCGTTCGCCACGGCGGGCGAACATATGCGATGTTCGGTCCGCCCCCTATTCCATATCATTGAGTAAACTTTGACAACCCACCTACCCGCCGCTCGGGGGTGGGGGTTGTCAAAGTTTACTCAATGATATGGGGGGGGACCTACTGTCCCCCCCCGGCCCCCACCCCTGAGTGGTGGGTGGGGGCCCTAAATACTAAGAAGGGGGGGGACCTAAGGTCCTCCCCCCTGGCCCCCACCCCTGAGCGGCGGGTGGGAGCCCTAAATACTAAAAAGGGGGGGACCTAAGGTCTTCCCCCCTGGCCCCCACCCCTGAGCGGCGGGTGGGGGCCCTAAATACTAAAAAGGGAGGGGACCTAAGGTCCTTCCCCCTGGCCCCCACCCCTGAGTGGCGGGTGGGGGCCCTAAATACTAAAAAGGGGGGGGACCTAATATCCTCCCCCCCGGCCCCCACCCCTGAGCGGTGGGTGGGGACAAATAAATCACAATGGGGGGGACCTAAGGTCCTCCCCCCTGGCCCCACCCCTGAGCGGTGGGTGGGGGCAAATAAATCACAATGGGGGGGACCTAAGGTCCTCCCCCCTGGCCCCCACCCCTGAGCGGCGGGCCCTAAATACTAAAAAGGGGAGGGGACCTAAGGTCCTCCACCTGGCCCCCACCCCTGAGTGGCGGGTGGGGACCCTAAATACTAAAAAGGGGGGGACCTAATGTCCTCCCCCCTGGCCCCCACCCCTGAGCGGCGGGTGGGGGCCCTAAATACTAAAAAGGGGGGGGACCTAATATCCTCCCCCCCGGCCCCCACCCCTGAGCGGTGGGTGGGGACAAATAAATCACAATGGGGGGGACCTAAGGTCCTCCCCCCTGGCCCCACCCCTGAGCGGTGGGTGGGGGCAAATAAATCACAATGGGGGGGACCTAAGGTCCTCCCCTCTGGCCCCCACCACTGAGCGGCAGGTGGGGGCCCTAAATACTAAAAAGGGGGGGGACCTAAGGTCCTTCCCCCCCGGCCCCCACCATTCGATGTTTTCTTTCTTCTAAATCTTCTTTTTTCAGCCCCAAAAAAGGCCAAATAAAAACCATAATAACCGATGCAATAAAAAAAAAATCAAAAAAAAATCCATCTTCACCCGGCGAGGGCTCCGCGCAGACTGAGTTCTGCAGGGCGGGGCAAGGCTTATAAAGCCTTGCCCCGCCCTGCAATTAGGCTCAGAGCACTCTGATTGGTGGGTTTAGCCATCCAATCAGAGTGCTCTGACAGGTAAATGAAGAGACTCACAGGTAAGTCTCTACATTTACCTGTTACCTTCCTCCTTCTTGCTACCCATTCCTGCTTCTTACTGACCCTTCCTGCTCCTTGCTGATCCTTCCTGCTCATTTCTGCTCCTTATCCTACTTTACCTTTTGTGCTCCTTCTGCCCCTTCCAGGTCATTGCTGACCCTTTCTGCTCCTTGATGTCCTCCTGCTCATTTCTGTTCCTTCTCCTTTCTTCTCTTGATGTCCTTTCCTGCTCATTTCTGTTCCTTTTCCTTTCTGCTCCTTTTCCTACTTTACCTTTGTGCTCCTTCTGTCCCTTCCTGCTCCTTGCTGCCCTTTCCAGCTCCTTGCTGTCCCTTTCCAGCTCCTTGCTGTCCCTTCCTGCACCATCTCCTCCTTTACCGTTGTGCTCCTTCTGCTTCTTGCTGCCCCTTCCAGGTCCTTGCTGCCCCTTTCTGCTCCTTGCTGCCCTTTCTGCTCCTTGCTGTTGCTTCCTGTTTCTTTCTGCTCCTTCTCCTACTTTACCTTTGTGCTCCTTCTGATTCTTTCTGCTCTTTCACATTCTAAATTGTGATTACTCACTGTATTTTTGTTATTCGTCTATTTTGCTCTATTTTGTCTTAAAAAAATCAGTAACATGATGCTGATGTCTTGAAGCTTTTGCAACTTGTTTGATCTACATTTTCAACACTAGGGAGAATCAAACTGATGGTCTCCATTGTAATGAGTGGAAGATGTGATGTAATTATTCATCAAAATAATTCAGCAAACAGCTGTTATACATCAGGTTACTCAAATTAATGCGTTTGCCAGATGGGGTGCTGCATATTATGACTGGTACTCCAGATAGAGGAAATATAGGATTGTGGCTATTAGACACATTTAATGGAATAACTAAATCCTCAAGCTCACAGCAACCAGGTGTAATGGTAGTTTCCTTAGCTACCAAACAAAGGCTAGCAATGTGTTGACAAACAAAGTGTCTTTATCAAGAATGTCTTGATTAAGACACTTTGTATGTCAAAATGTTGCTAGCCTTTGATGGCTGAATAAACTATCAATGCATCTGTCTGCTGTGTGCTGAGGGTTTAGTTATTCCATTTACCTGCAGCACACGCACCAAAAATCTATGTTTAGATTGAGTGCACACATTGTCTGTTTCATGAACTCACCATTTAAAGTTGGTTCCTCTTGAAAATGAGAGACAATGGATGCAATTAGGTTTATAAAACATTATCAAGATTTTGGACACCATTCGTAAACTTGGGTGCACTACTTTGCCATGAACTTCAATACACAAGAAAGTGGCATTTATTAAATTACACACATAGGCATGTGCAAGGGTTGCTCAAGGTATGCCTTGAGACACCCTGATAAAGGGCTAAATTGTTTTCCTTATCCCCAGTTTATTTCTTTGTGAACACTTTTCCATTATTTGTCCTAGTTTATTACATTTTTTAAGAATAAAACCAAATCTATTTGCATACAGTTGCTTATCTGAAGAGTAAAAAAAGAACGAAAATAAGAATATAGGTATATACCCATACACTTAACCCAAAAAATGGGATAGTGACGGGTCTAACCCAATATCTTAAGTACCGCAGAGAGACTCCAGGGGTCTCAAGGGGCTTAACCCCAATGTGTACAAAATACAAAAAACAAACAAGAAGTTGATGCCACTAGTCTCCGAGATCAGCTGCATCCCCTGGATATATATGTAGTAATATAGTTATTACTGTATATTGGCATAAACAATGTATAATCTTATATTATTGAGACCTAAACAAAATAAATAAACCAAAGTATATACAAGTGATACATATGCTAATATGCAAGCCAATAATAGACACCATGTAGGGAAACAATCCAAATCCATATAAGGGTGTGATATCCAATCCTAAATATCAGCTTTATTAACAGGTGTATATGCTACATAGGAGGGGATCCATCCCAAACCTATTCCCTAACACTGGGCTATTTGCAGATTAACTCTAAATACTGCTCTGCCTTATCTTATAAAGATCTGTTTCCTGACGAAGGTGCTTTATATAAGGCACCAAAACGCGCGTCGGCAATTTTTCTTATTTTTAGCCATGATTATTGGGCATTTGTCGATTGAGCACTATGACTTTCATTTGATTTATTGATTCTTTTGATTTTCTCTTTTCTATAAGATTATACATTTTTTATGCCAATATACAGTAATAACTATATTACTACATATATATTGTATCCAGGGGATGCAGCTGATCTTGGAGCTTTGTATGCACTGAGACTACTGGCATCAACTTCTTGTTTGTTTTTTGTATTTTGTATCTGTAGAGTAAAACTATGCTTCTCCAACTATTTTTTAAATTAGTAATTGTTATGGAAGGTTTAAGTATTAATTTATATTGGTGCAAAACCTTATGCATTGAGCTGCACATTACTTTGATGACACATATCCACTACTTATCATTTCCCTATTGGGCTGAATGTTATTAGTTCTTCCACCTTTTTTCACCATTTACTGACAGACTGTGATCAGACTCACCAACTCTTACAACATGTGGACTTCCAAGACACTTACCCTCTACTATACATGAGGTTGGCTCATCTTTAATTTAATTAATATAACAAATGATACCTCCACTCTGTGACTTTATTTCTTGAGAAACCCATTGCCCCGAGATAATGAGTTCCTTAACACTCAGTAACTACAGAGATAATTATAAGGCTCAAATCAATTATATTTAATGATTGCTGAGGTTTTAAATATTTATATCAGATAATATTCATGTAATTGTCTTAACGTAAAAAAATAATCTAATGACCCTTATATACCACCATCCCACCTTCAAAATATCTGGAACCTCAGTGTATTCAGATCTCTCATGAATGTTTGATTCTTGTTTGATGATTGGTTCTTATCGTGGTATATTTTATACATTACCTCTCTTTCTGATTTACCCATTCTCATAGTTACATAGTTACATAGTTACATAGCTGAAAAGAGACTTGCGTCCATCAAGTTCAGCCTTCCTCACATTTGTTTTTTGCTGTTGATCCAAAAGAAGGCAAAAAAAAAACAGTTTGAAGCACACTTTTGCAACAAGCTAGGAAAAAAATTCCTTCTTGACCCCAGAATGGCTGTCAGATTTATCCTTGGATCAAGCAATTATTATCCAACATTGAAAGATTATATCCTTGAATATTGTGTTTTTGCAAGTATGCATCTAGTAGCTGTTTGAACATCTGTATGGACTCTGATAAAACCACTTCTTCAGGCAGAGAATTCCACATCCTGATTGTTCTTACAGTAAAAAAACCTTTCCTTTGCCTTAGACGAAATGTTCTTTCTTCCAGTCTAAACGCATGGCCTCGTGTCCTATGTAAAGTCCGGTTTGTGAATAGATTTCCACACAATGGTTTGTATTGGCCCATGAATATATTTGTATAATGTTATCATATACCCTCTCAGGTGACGTTTAAACTAAATAGGTTTAAATGTGTTAACCTTTCTTCATAGCTGATATGTTCCATTCCTTTTATTAATTTTGTAGCCCGCCTCTGCACTTTTTCTAGTGCCATAATATCCTTCTTTAGAACAGGTGCCCAAAATTGCACAGCATATTCAATATGTGGTCTTACCAGTGATTTATAAAGAGGCAAAATGATATTCTCGTTCCGAGAATGAATGCCCTTTTTCATGCATGACAATACCTTACTGGCCTTGGCCACTGCTGATTGACATTGCACATTGTTGCATAGTTTGTTGTCTTTAACAATTCCCAAGTCCTTTTCGTCTGTTGTTATCCCTAATTCGCTTCCATTAAGGGTATACGTTGCTTGTGTATTCTTTGCATTTTCCAACATTAAATTTAATTTGCCATTTGAGTGCCCAGTCCTCCAGTTTATCTAAATCCCTATGCAGCAAAGTAATATCTTGCTCACATTGTATTATTTTACAAAGTTTTGTGTCATCTGCAAACACTGAAACATGCCTTTCAATGCTGTCTTCAAGATCATTTATAAACATGTTAAATAGAAGGGGTCCCAGAACAGACCCCTGATGGACACCACTTGCCACCTCTGTCCAGCTTGTAAATTTACCATTAATGACAACTCTTTGTACTCTGTTTTTAAGCCAATGTTCTACCCAAGAACAAGCATTTTAATCTAGTCCGATTTCCTTGAGTTTGAACACTAATCTATTGTGTGGAACTGTATCAAATGCCTTGGCAAAATCCAAATAGATCACATCCCCTGCAACACCCTGATCTATACTTCTTCTTACTTCTTCATAGAACGCAATCAAGTTAGTTTGACATGACCTGTGCTTCATAAAACCATGCTGATTTTTGCTGATAACCATGTTCTTCTCAAGGAATTCTTGAATATTATCACTTAATAACCTTTCAAATATTTTACCAGCCACAGAAGTTAGGCTCACAGGTCTATAATTTCCAGGAAAGGATTTTGAACCCTTTTTGAATATAGGAACCACATCTGCCTTCCTCCAATCCTCCGGAACACTTCCTGAAAGAAAAGAATCTTGAAAGATTAAAAACAGAGGTTCACTTATCTCTACACTTAGTTCCTTAAGTACACATGGATGGATACCGTCAGGGCCTGGAGCTTTGTTTATATTAACTTTCTTTAGTTGCTGCAGCACCTTGTCTTGAGTTAACCAATTACAATTATTCTGCCAGATTTTAGTAGCAATCATTTGCACATCTATTGCCATGGGTTCTTCCTTAATATATACGGAGGAGAAATAGTTATTTAAAATTCCTGCCTTTTCCTGGTCTTCATTAACTAACACCCCCGTTTCAGTTTTTGGTGTACCTACACTTTCATTTTTGGGTTTTTTAGAATTTATGTACTTAAAAAATGCTTTAGGGTTGGTTTTGCTCTCTTTAGCTATCATTTTTTCATTTTGAAGTTTAGCAAGTCTAATTGCCTTTTTCGCTTTATTTTCTTTCTTATGTCTTTTATAATATGCATCTGATTTGTCCGATTTAAATGCTTTAAATGCCCTTCTCTTATTTTCTCTTTCTTCCTTTGCTTTTAAATACATCCTTGTTCAACCTGTTAGAGTATTATAAGGGATGTATTAAGCTTTATTCATCTACATATAATTGTGTATTGTTATTGGTAATCATCTGATAATGTTTTTGTTTTATACTATGTTCTATATTACTGGGACAATTAACAATATTCTATGCTTTTAAGACATTATAGTGGCAAATAGGGGAATTAATAGAGGTTACACCATATTACAGGGACAAACAAAAAATGTAAAATAAAACACATGTACACAAATTAAACTATTACTAAATTTAAAATGCAAAGATAAAAAAAGTTTAAAACAAAACAAAACATTAACTTCATGACAAATCCTATGTTGTATCTGAAGGACATTTGTTTGTTATGCCATATCATACACTGTTATTAAAGGACCCTTAGGGCTTTCATTTTATACTCTATGAAAATATAAAAACAATTAGTGAAAATAGACTAATGTAACTCTATATGTATGATAATTTAAGAAATACTCTAAACACCAAAACA